TATTAAAAATATATAAATCTATTTTTGAGATAGTTTTTAAAATAAATAAATATTACATATATTTTTATTTAAAATAAAGTGAGGTAGATTTTGGGTTATTGGAAATGGAGACTTAATGAGCAAATTGCTTGGTGTCAACAAAGCCACAAGTTTTGATTTTAATTTTGAAATTTTTTTTAACTTTTATATTTTCATATTTTGAGGATTTTTTTAATAATTTTTTAAAATTTAGATTTATCTGAAGGAAATTTCAATTTAAACTATTAAAAAAAAGAAGAAGTAAATATTTAATATGAAGAGAGAGACTATAAAGGAGGAAATAGAAGATAAATAGAAAAAAAGGAAGTAGATGAGGACTCTTTAATAATTTGTAGTTTAAATTAATCACATCACCCACCTAATACCATATCAGCACTAAGCCATTTCTTGGTAATGGAGTAACAAGGATGTGGACGGAAAGATGACATTTGATGAGGTCATCGTCAGCAGAAGGGCTGATTTGCGGGTTTCGTCAAGTGGAGGGGCTGATTTGCTCTACTTTTAGGTAGAGGGGCTGATGTGCCACAACAATGGACGTAGAGGGGCTGAATTGCACCTTCTGCCATTTTTCCTCTCGAAGTAACTCGTAAGATTCGAGGGTTTTTCCAAGAAATAACGAACAAGAACACTCGATCCTGCTTGGAAGTAGTCTGCTTGTGGATTAGACAGCAAGGATTTCCAACTTCTCTATTTAGAGAGCAGTAATGAATTTCAGGAAAAACAGTGATTGCTTCGAATCTTGAGAAATTACCTGGTGGTTTGATTATGGAGGAAAAGCTAAAGGAGGAGCTGGAGGAACTGATTTTGATGGCGGAACGAGTTGAGTCAGTGGTTGCAGAGGCCAACTCGTTCAAGGAGGATTGCTACTCGGTTGGGGTGTTGGTGCGTTGGTTGAGGCCGTGGCTTCAATATTTGGTCAAGCGCATCTCCTCTGCCCCTGCACAGGCCCTGTACGACCGGCCGATTGTCCGCATAGTCGCTGAAGTCTCCAAGAACCTCGAGCGTGCCCTGACCCTGGTCCGAAAGTGCAAGCGCCGGACTCTATTTCCCCGGTTTGTCGGCGTCAACTGTAGAACTGATTTTGGCAGGATCTTTTCTCTTCTACAATCATCAATCGCCGACCTGGAGTGGTTGCTGAGCCTCATCGACCTCGACCCTGGCTGCGTCGCCGGAGGAGGGTTTATATCTGTGCCTCCAATCGCAATAAACGACCCGGTTATCTCATGGGTCTGGTCCTTCATCGCCACCGTCAAAATGGGTAAATTAATGGATTGCATCGACGCTGCCAACAATCTCTCTTTGCTCGCCGATGGGAATGAAAGAAACAAGAGAATCATCATCGAAGAAGTGGGAATCCCTCCTCTGCTAAAGCTTCTGAAGAACTTCTCGCCTGACGCGCAAATCGCGGCGGTTAATTCGCTCTATGTTTTAGCAGATAATGAAGAGAGAGTGAAGACTATTGTGGAACAAAAAGGAGTTCCACTAATTGTTCAACTATTCAGGGTTTCCTCCCTGAGGGTTCAGACGCCGGTGGTGAATCTGATGGCGAGAATGGCGGAGAAGGATCCCAAGGTCCAGGAGGCTTTCCACAATGAGCAGGTGATTTTACCACTCTTGAAGTTGCTTTCTTTGGACATAGTTTCCGATGAACTCGTCACAAACGGGCGCGTGCAGAAACAGAGCATTCACTCTGTTCTTGAGATGAAAAAGGAAATCCACAAACACAATTCGATCGCACCCAATTCGGAGATCCATAGTCGGTACAGGAACTTGTGCTTAAATTGGTACTTCGAGGGATGCAATCGGGCGAAAATGCAGAAGGAAGAGTGGGAGAAGGAGAAACCGGAGGTCAGAAAAGAGCTAAAGACTAATTGTTCGAAGGCTCTATGGATGCTTTCTCATAAAAATGTTTCAATTTGCAAAAAGATAACAGAGAGGAACGGATTGATGTACTTAGCGAAGTTGATGGAGAAGGAACGGGATGAATTGCCGTTCAATTGCTTGATGACCGTAATGGAGATTGCGGCCGCCGCTGAAACTGACCCCAATTTCAGACACTCGGTGTTTAAGATTAATTCTCCAGGTGTAAGAGCCGTAGTGGATCAGCTCTTGAGGGTGATCAAAGAATCGGGTAGCCCTAAATTTCAGATTCCGGCAATCAAATCGATCAGTTACCTGGCGAGGATTTTTCCGGCTCAAGAGACTCAAGTGATTGATTCCCTTGTGGCGCAGCTTTTCAGTAAGTGCCGTGATGTGGCGGAGGAAGCAGTAATCGCTTTGAAGAAATTTGTCTGTCCGGACAATTATCTCTGGAAGGAGCACAGAAATTCAATAATCAAACTAAACGGTAGGGCAGCACTGAGGCTGTTGATAGAAAACGCGAGTCA